GTAGCTCATTATAAGACTCCTTCGCAGTTGTGATAGAGGGTCTTGTTCTAAATAAATAATATTTTCAATATTTGGCAAATAACACTGACTAGAAATAACATGAATAACAACAATCATGTTAAGTATAAAAATTGTAATATTTGTAACACCCTAAGTAAGGGGAAATTTATTACCTAAGAAATCCTATAGTTAACATTTCATTCATTCCCCTTGACCTACCTTTCAAAGAGCCCATCAGGGTACAATTCTAACATTTCCCTTTTCAAAAACTAAAGGTCAAATACAATACCTATGAGATCCATAAATTAAAATTTCATTTTTCTCTTTGTCCTACCTTTCAAAAAGCTCATCAAGGTACACATTACAAAGGCTCACATAGGAGCAAATTCTAATTTTGAACTTCCATGTCAAACCTAACTAGTTTTCAAGGAAATCACCAATGTCAGATGCTGGTAATCTGGATTACTAGAGTTGCCTTTCCGCATAAACTGTACTCTTACATGTATTCACTCATGAAAGTATAGAATGAGACAATTTACTTTTTATACAAGGTGGTCATAATAATCTTGATCATTGGATGTAAAGCTGGGTGGCTGCAATTATTCCATTGATCAAGTTCAAACTTCAAAAGAAATTCTCTCGAACTTTGTAACACATCCAAGCTATCAAATTTAACATCAAATGGTTGTAAAGAATTGTGACCACCTTGTATAAAAGGTAAATGATCTCATTGTATATAATTTTTTTTCTTTTTTGATGCATCATTAAAGTTTTGGGATTATATAAAATGAGACCATTTACCTTTTATACAAGGTGGTCACAATTACTTACGACTATTTGATGTGAAATCTGATAGTTTGGATGTGTCATAAAGTTCAAGATAATCTTGGTCAATGGAATAAATTCAGTCATCTAATTTCACATCCAATGGTCAAGATTAATTGTGACCACCTTATACCAAAGATAAATTGTCTCATTGTATACTTTTCCTAAAGTTTTAGTTTTCTATTTTCTAGGTTGGTTGATAGGTTTAGTAGGTAGCATCCCCAAAATTTAGGATCCTGAAATACTTTGGGAGCTAAAATTTTGCCCAAGGAGGACAATGCACATTTCTCTAGGGAGCATTATAATCTCTTCGAAATCTGCTTTGGCTATGACGAAGCAAGATTGTAAAATAGTTGTCTAATAATTTTTCCCCCATTTTTGATCCATTATGCCATGCCCATCAAGGCTTAAAGATGGGTGAAATTTAAATTGAGCAGGGAAATTTTTAATAAGTTTCCCATAACTTAGCTTTTAAATATGGAATATGGGTGTAGTTTATGTAAGGTTGCAACCTTAAAGAATCCACAAAGGCACTCCTCCAAATTTTATCATAACAAGTCATTTTGGTGTAAAAAATTCAGATTATCTCAAAATCTATTTTTATATCTAATTATAAAATTTTAAATTCCAAAAATGGTTAAAATCAACTAGATCCATAAACCTATGAAAATCTTGAAAATGGACGGTCTAGATAATATGTTGCAAGATGCACTATTTTTTAGACTCAAAATCTTTTTTTTAGATTCATACATCTCGATGTCGAGATGATCAATTAGAGGGAATCTTTTACAAATGATTTTTGAGATGTATCTTTATTTCTACATTTTAAGGTTGCAACCTTATATAAACTTTTTGCTTTAAATATTTCCTCTTTTTTCTCACCTAAGGTTCCTCCCAAACTTTCATTTTCCATTTTTCATATTTTCTTTGTTACACTATTTAGTCCTTATTGTTTCCTAGTTCTTTCCATGGAACCCATGTTTTAACCTTGCATACAAGAAAATGAGAAACACAAACGTATTTCTTGGAGTTTCTTATTTTTCTTCTTTGCTTTTTAATCTTAACATGGTAACTTAAGATATCAAGTTGTGGCACCCCATTGCCTTGAGCATCAAGGACTTGGGTTTATTCCTAACACAGTTTTCATACAAAACTATTTGGCAGGTGTTTCAAAAATTAGAAGGGGCCTCTAGCTTTGCAAGGTCTAATTTTTATCCGTTCCTTTAAGCTATGTGTGATTCTCGAGTCGAATTAGACTATATTTAATAAAAAAGCTTAAATAGAAGTTGAAAATTGGAAAATCAAAGCAATTCGGATGTTCTTGGAACTGAAATCCCATATGTGACACTCATGATCCAACTCGAAAAGCAACTTCGATTCAGATCAACAATTTTTCAATCACTTGTTTAGAATTTAGGGCATTGCCTTTCAATCGCATCATGGTTGGCTTCTTTGCAGTCTTCTAGAGTGCCCCACAATATACAATGCGATGCCTCAATTTTGCAAAGATGCAAATTTTTTACCCAATATTTCCAACAACAAAGAAAAATTGTATTAAAACTCTTAAAAATGGTACTCTGCAATTCTCATTAAGGGGTGAGCACTCCTATGCTTCAACATTTTATGAGAAATGATTTTGGGCAAGGCTTTTTTGATTTAATGGAAGTTATAGTCCAATAAATCCATCATATAAAGCTGGTTTGATGTTGAAAAACTATCTAATTGATCATCTTGACATTGAGATGTATGAATTTGAAATGAAAAAAGGATTTCGAGTCCTAAAAATAATGTATATTGCAACACATTATCTGGACCGTCTTTTTCAAGATTTTCAAACGTTTTAAACCTACTTGATTTGAACCATTATTGGAGTTTAAGATTTTAAAATTAGAGATGAAAATAGATTATCAAATCATCCTAAGAAGCTTTGACACTAAAAAATATTTATGAGAAATTTTGCAGGCACGCTTTAATTTGATTGTTTAAGGTTGCAACTCTATACAAACCACACCCTTAGTTAAAAGGAGGTTGCAATTTTAGATGTCAAATCTGTTGGGTGAGTGTGACCATTAAAGGCCATATGAGTACTTGTAAAATGAAATGATATAGTGGAAAACTCAGTGGGAATGTGGTCCCTCGTGGATCATACTAAGCAAACGATATTTGCTAATATCGAACTGTGTTTGAAGATCTAGGCCAGTCGGTTAGGAAAAATCCATGATACCCCGGCATTGAGAATAAATCGAGAAGGGTTCTAATGGGTCATCCCTTGATGAGGTCGGAGCATATGCCCGGATGAATGAACCAAGGGATTGTGTGATCCTTATGTATGATGGTGGCCTACAGAGACGGGGACCAGAGCCTCATCCATGTGCCATCACACAATATGCATATTGATAGATTGTTCGGAAAAGCAAGTAAGCCACCTTTAGGGTGAGGCGTATGCATGTGCAAGAGATACCCATATATGCCATATAGTTGTGGTCGCATCAGGTCTAGGCGACCTTGACTCGTCTCTAGGGGAGGACCTGTAACCCGCAGACTAGAATTGCGACCCATTGGCTCATCGACCAGACTTTGGTGACCTGCTAATGAATCCCTGCTTAGACTGTGGGTCATGAAAAACACTGGGTCGGTTTGATAAAGCAAGTGTAGTTTGTAGTCCACAGTTGAAGGTGGAGTGCCTTATGATTGTTGATTCAATTCCTAAACCATATGGATCATTTTCCCATCAAATCAATTTAATTATGTTTTTTTTATGATAAAAATTATTTTAGAATTATTATTTGAATTTTAATGAATCACTAGATATTTTATTTATGAAATTAAAGATATTGATTTTACAATGGTTTAAATATTCAAATAATATTCTAAAATGCTTTTATTAATTTTAAAAATATAAAAATACCATGGGGGCCTATTGCGCATATGGGTCCACCATATTTCTAGAAGGTGGGGCCCATGAGTGCCCCCCTTGGATGGCAAGCCCCACCCTTATTCTCTTTCTTATTTTGTGGTGATATGGCATGTGGCCATATGGTTGACTCAATATTAACTTGATATATCTTTGAAAGATTTTGTAGAAAGATTGAGTAGACATGTGCTATTTTATAGTAAGCACAATATTTTGATTAAATTTATTTTATCTAATTTCTATTGATGGGAAAATGATTTAGAAAAAAAGGATAAAGGTCTATAGTCTATAGATGACTCAGATCTCTCACCCTATAAGTCACCCTTGTTCGACGGTTCATGTTCAATCTCACAAGAAAAAGCAAGCCAAGGAAAACCCTAATAAACCCTAATCTTGTTCAAGCGTATAAAAAAGAGATTGTCTCTAGTCAAAATCTCTACACCTTATCTTTCTCTCTCTCTCCTAAGAAAGTTTATCTCTCTCATAGAAGCCTAAAGGGGACACTCTTACTCTCTCATGATCTCTTCCTCTCCCACATTGTGAAAGAACCTAGGGGTTTAAGCTATGAAGTTATTCTCTCTCCTATCTATCAACTATAGATTTATGGCTAAGGGCTTTAAGGTTATAAAAAAGAGAATTCATCTCTCTCAAACTAAGTTGCTAAGGAAATTTACTTAGGGTTTGAGTTTATGATTAAAATGGTTCATGTTTCATCGGTGTAGCTTGGCCTAAACTTGATTTTCCGATGACGATATACCCATACCTGACAACCGGACCAACCCCAATCCCGATATAAGTCAAAAAATAGACCCGACGAATCGAATCCGTGTATAAATATTAGACCCATATACTAGGTCTAGATCCGGCCCCGCCCGACCCGACCCATTGCCACCCTCCATGGTGGGTTTTTACTTCAACCACTCTCTCTCTAAGCCAGCGCGTGCCAACCGATTATTTCCATTCACATCGTCGACATGTCCGCTCTGTGAGAGTCTTCTATACAAGTAATTGCTGGTTTTTTATTACTTCCTTCTTATTACTGCCCTCACTGCTTTGCCCTAGTCTTTGAGAAAGAGAAACGGAGGGCGTTTTAGAGAGAGAAACAGAGGGCGTTTTAGAGTGAGACAAGTGGGCCAAAATGGCTACGTGGAGAGAAGCATGCAACATCCCACGCGTTCCACAAACTGCAGCAATGAAGCCATGCACAAACACTTGACCCACGTAGCACCAACCTCACACTCATGTGTCCTCTCTCCATACGTGTCATGCTAAGCCCTTTATATATAAACCCTCTTATCACCATTAATCTGACTTCATCTCAAGATCGCCATCTTCTTCTTCCCCTCAAAACCACCCTTGAAACCTCCATTAAACGACTCCTCAACACCTAGTTAGAGATTCCATCAAATTCTTCGCAATCACTATTTCATTGAGTACACTGCTCAAAACCACCAAATTCCTTAGAAACTCCATCAAACCACTGGAAAACAGCCTTGACAACCACTTTCACAGCCTCAAAACCACCATTTTTCCAAGACCACTTTCAAAACTGCTAGTAAGGCCCTGAAATCCCCATCAAATTTTCGAACCCAACCTCGAATACCACCCTCGAAAGTGCATTCATAGTCTGTAAGGACTAGGGCTTCTCTCTTCCATGGCGGACAGACGCAGCCAGCTTGCACTCTCGCGGTCTGACCAGGACATCACTCCAAAATCCCACAAGGTTGTAAAAGGACTAACCGCCGCTACCCTTGGTGGGGGCTCTCTCGTGGCCTCCGGCCTCACTCTCACCGGTACCATTATCGCCATCACCATCGCAACACCCCTTCTCGTCATCTTTAGTCCCATACTAGTTCCCGCAGCTGGAGCCCTGCTCCTTGCAACAGCGGGGTTTGTGACCTCCGGCGGCTTTGCAGTGGCTGCAATCATCGCGTTCTCGTGGATGTATGGGTACGTCATGGGGAAACACCCGCCGGGTGCCAAAACTCTGGATCAGGCCAAAGCAATGGTTGCTAGCAAGGCGCAAGACCTGAAGGAACAGTATGCTTCCCACACGCAGAGCCAGTAAAGGAGCATCCTACTCCAAAGGCAAAATCCTACTCCAAAGGTGAAAGCCTAGTAAGGGAGCTCTATGCTCCACATAAGGTTAGCTATAATAGAAAAAGGAACGATTTCGAGGCCTTTAGTTTTAGGATTGTCTCCTTGTTTCTTCAGTGATTTGGGTTTTGGGTTTTTGCTTGTGTGCATGTGTGTAGTTTACCATGGTTGAAGGTGTGATGGATTTGGTGTTTTAAGTATTTTCTTGCTTTTCTATTTCAACATTCTGGGTTTCTTTATTCTTCATTGTTGAAGGTGTGATGGATTTGGTGTTTTAATGTCTTGTGTTTTCTATTCCAGCATTCTGGTTATCCTTGTCTGCATGTCACCCTCTTTACATTTCTTATGGTTGACTGTGTGATGGATTTAGTATTTTTATGTATTTTGGTGTTTTGTTCTATCTCAAAGCTAATAGAGGATGAAGCAAAATTTAATGAATAAGAAAAAGAGGGGGAAATGTGAGAATGAAGTACAATGAAAAGCAAGGGCAAAGATTAAACAGGAGGAAATTTTTTATGGAGAACCTCGTTCAAAAACCAGTTGAACAGTTGGGTGAGGAAATAAAATAAAAGACTATGAAGCAAAACCAATTTCCAAAATTTTTGAACGGCAAGTCCATGGAACATGGGTATGTAATTTGGTTCCCCCCCCCAATCGATGGAACAGGGGTATGTAATTTGGTTCCCCCCATGGAACTAGGGGTGGGAAATTGAGCGCGTCCAATAGCACGGACCCAATAGGCTGATCCGATGGAGGCCAGATCTCCAGATCTCGACCCGGAACATGGACCAACAACCTGGACAATGGACCCAGTGACCAACTTATCGGGATCGACCCGGGTCCGGGTCAAACTTGGATTTTTTAGGCTAGGGCTGGGGCCAGATGGGTCAACCATATCATATAAATATAAATAGTATTAGCTACATGCTACGTAACATGTAAAATGATTTTTACATTTTTTATACCTTCTAATCGACTTGTAGTCGCCAGAGCTCTGGATCAAGTCCAGGTAGGTTAGGATAGGAGTCGGGCCTGACCCACTCCGATCCAATCCCTTTATATACCCGCTTGGAACTGCCTATAGGGCCAGCTCACGTAGGGTCCGTGTCAGGGACTTAGGGATAGTATGCGGGCTGACCCGCATGGGGCCATCTCAAGTAGGGTCCGTATCAGGGGTCTAGGGTTGGTATCGTGGCGGACCAGCACCTAACCCAACTATTGACATCCCAACTGATAACGTCCTATAAGACCGATTCATCCGGCCGATCCAAGTTTCAAAAAAATCCTCATTGGGCAAGAACGGCAGTTCATCCAATGCATTCGGTGCTCCGATCAAATCTTATCTGGAAGAGATTGATTTGATCCAGAGGAGTGGATCAAATCTTATTTGGCATTGCTTGATTTGCTCCTATGGGTCAATAATTTCAACCATAATACTTATGAATCTTAAAAATAAATAAGATTTTCAAGGAAATAAGGTTTTAAGGTTGGAAAACCCTCTAATTAATCCTTTCAAATCTTAAAAATTTGTAACACATTACTATTATTATTGTTTTTTAATATCAAAAACCCAAGTAAATACATTAGATTTATGAAGCTGTAGTGAATTGGGAGGCGAGAAACACCATGTCATTGGTGCCATAATATGAGTCAATGAGTAAATTTGTGAGAAATGGTGCCATAGTAGCGCTCTAATAAATAGAGAAACTTGCTGAAATTTAGCCTGTGATCGAAACCTGAAAAAGAAGAGAGGAAAATGTTTCTAAAGCTCCAATGTGTTTTTAAATCCATATATCTATTTTGGACAATCAAATCTCATGGCCATTTTCAGTTCATTTTCAATAATCCAATCCCTATCTTAATACTCTAATAATCTATGAAAAGTGGATTACGGATAAGGGAAAGCTTTCTATGTTCTTGTACAAGATAGAATTTCTATGTTCTCCTACCACATAGAAGTTCTATCCTCTCATTTATCCAACCATCCATCTTTTAATGAGGCTAAAATTGCCTCAATTACAATATCACGTCTTTACATTATTTTATTTTTAATTTTTTTTTATAAACTATTTTAACACCAAAATTTAGACGTTCATTTTTTTATTAAACTCGTATTAACAAAAAAAAATTTTAAAAAAAATTAATAAAATAAACTAATCAAAATACCTCTAGTTTCAAAGGGTATTTTGGTCATAGTTTATCAAAAAATTATTGTTAATATTTTTTATAGGTGCGTCCCAACGAGAAGATGGCATGTACCAAATTTCATATTCAAAACATTTGTATTAAAAAAACTAAAAATAAAATACTTTGAGGCATCGGATCTAAGATAAACGATGAGTGGCTCTCTTGATAAAAAATGGACGGCTGGATGGTAAAAGGAGGATAAAACTTCTATGTTGTAGGGGAAACATAAAAAGCTTTCTCTATGGATAATGTGGCACAAAAATTTAAAAACAATGAATTATAAGTCGTAACATTAACAAAAGGAAACAAATTTATAGAAGCTAGTAACCTTGTAAAAATATAGCTGCAGTAATCTATGCCATCAAATTTAGTTTGAACAGTGCAGATTCGATAGTATCTTAAAAAAAACATATCACTTTTTTGTATTATCTTAAAACAAGTGTTAAATTTAGTTGAACAGTGCAGATTCGATAGTATCTTAAAAAACACATATCACTTTTTTGTATTATCTTAAAACAAGTGTTAAATTTATACACGTCCAACTAAAATAAATAGTGTAAAACATCACGACCTTAATTTTAACCCTAATTCTATATGCAAAGTTGCAAACTTCATAAATAATTTATAATTTCAAAAGTATTGATAGAGGACCTCTGTCACTTCATTTTCTCGTCTAGAAAGAAGGAAGCCCGATAGAAAGTAGAGCATGAATAATATTAAAAAAAAATAAAAAAAAAGAAAGATCAAAGGTTCTATACCAACCAAACATTCAAAATATGACAAAAACAAAACAACTCAAAATCTTAAAGCTCCAAGTTGTTGGTGTCAAAAAAAAAAAATGGAGCTTTTAAGGATTTTTGAACTTCCTTTTGATGTGGAGACGAGATTTAGAGCAAAGATGAAATGACACAGAGAAGAGGGATGAGTTTACATGACAAAAACAAAATAATAAGGAAAACAAATCAAAATCTTAAAGCTCAAAGTTGGTGTTAAAAAAAAGAAGGGGGTTTTAAGGATTTTTGGACTTCTTTTTTATGTGGAGACGAGATTTAGAGCAAAGAAGAAATGACACAGAAGAGAGATGAATTTATTTTGGTTGTAGGATTAGAGGACGCCAGAGATCTGTGATACAGAGGAAAGAGAGATGAGTTTATTTACTTGCAGGCCTATAGGAGGATGTGTGACATAGAGAGGGAGATAAGTTGGAGAAGACATACGAAAGTGAAAAATAACAGACACGATAGTTATGTTCAGGAAATGATACATTAGAGAAAAATATTAAATTGTAAGGGGGAATATAGAAATAAAAAGATGGAAAAGAAAAATAAATCAAAGAGACATTAGATTAAAAAGAGTGCGTGTGGAAATGAGACTGTAATTTTTTGGGATGGGGGGAACAGTTAGCTCCCTTCTGTTGAAAGAAATAAACCACTAACCCTATAAGGTACCCTAAAATATCTCTTTGATGGTCCCCGGCCCTTTATCCTCTTCAGAAATAGGCTCCCATTTTACTCTTAAAACATGTCTCCACCCCTTAACAGTGTGGCTTAACAAAATAGCATAGTACAGTGAGCTCCCTTCTGTTGAAAGAAATAAACCACTAATCCTATAAGGTAACCTAGAATATCTCTTTAATGGTCCCCTGCCCTTTGTCCTCTGCAGAAATAGGCTCCCATTTTATTCTTACAACATGTCTCCATACCTTAACAGTGTGGCTTAACAAGATAGCCTGGTACAGTTAGCTGCCTTCTGTTGAAAGAAATAAACCACTAACCCTACAAGGTACCCTAAAATATCTCTTCAATGGTCCCCTGCCCTTTATCCTCTGCAGAAAATAGGCTCTCCCATTTTATTCTTACAACATGTCTCCACCCCTTAACAGTGTGGCTTATCAAGATAGCATAGTACAGTTAGCTCCCTTCTGTTGAAAGAAATAAACCACTAAGCCCACAAGGTACCCTAAAATATCTCTTTAATGGTCCCCTGCCCTTTATCCTCTGCAGAAATAAGCTCCCACTTTATTCTTACAACATGTCTCCACCATTAACAATGTGGCTTAATAAGATAGCCTAATAATTACAAATTACTATAGATTAGTAAGACATTTTCTTTTTCCATGCCTATCAACACTTAAAGATTAGTATAGATTAGTAGAACATAATGCTCTCGTACCTGTCAACACTTTTTTCTGTTGCCCTGCCTATTACACTTTATCTTTCATAAGAAATTTAGAACTCTTACAGTTTACATATAAAAATTTGTAAAAAAAATTACTTTTATATGAAATTCATTGTTGAAAATTTCGAATAGATTCCTTTTTAATAGATTTAAAGTGTATCTTTAATTACCTAATTGACAAAACATAGAGAAAATCTGCTGAAAGTCAAAAGTCAAACCAAAACAAGTCTCGAAAAGGGAGCATGATGAATGACTAAAATTTTTGTTTCTTAAATGTAGCCTTGAGCCACATTTTACATAGTTTGACTTTCCATTTCCTTATCCCAAATATATAAATATAATTTGTTCTTTCAATATTTTTCATCGAAAATTTTATTTCAGATTCCCTTTAGCCATGTATACTTTAATACAGTATCAAATCTACATTGTCCAACTAAAAACAATAGCTCAAAATATCGAATCTTACTTCAGTGATTTAGGTTGCAGCCTTACTAAAACTTTTTCCTCAACTAATTCACACAAAATATAAAACAGCTACAAAACATTCTAATAATGTATAGCCTCATTGTATTTTAGAGGTTCTGAATAAAATTTTAGAAATTTGAGAATCTAAATCATCCATGATGGAAAGATGGTTGTTTTTTGTTCTTTTAGTAAGCTGTTAGATATTATTAGAGCATCAAATTATAAGCTCTCAGAGCATCCATGTAGTCACAAACGCATCCATTGTAGTCAAGAGTGTATAGAGAAAATCATGCGAGTGAGAAAAACCAATAGATTCCAGTAGTTGGCAACAGAGAGAGAGAGAGATTGTTCAAAGTGCGTTATTGAAGTTATGGAGAGAGAGAGAGAGAGAGAGAGAGAGAGAGAGAGAGACAACAAAGACAAG